AAGTGTTTGATGTAGGTGATGAGGTTATGGTTTTTTTAAGGAAGGAAAGAATTCCCGTAGGTACTTACAACAAGTTGAAGCCTCGGAAGTATGGTTACAAGATCGTGAAGAAGCTTAATGATAATGCCTATGTAGTGGACCTACCAGATCATATGGGTATATCCAAGACCTTCAACGTTATCAACCCTAGTACTAAAGGGAACACGATGATGTTTCCCCAATTGACACGAACCACAATCCAAAACAGAAAGATGACTCAAAGAAGGAACCAAAGACTTCAAAACTTTCAGCGAAGGATGACCAAATCGACAGTGCCACTGGAGAGGAGAAAGAGATGACTGGAGAGCTGTTGACGTACTTCCACGACCGTCAAGATAATACAATCCACCAGCTTCATGCCATCCACCAATCTTCATCCCCGTCTTGAGATCCTGAAAAACACATGAAGAAGGGTAAAAAGTAATAGAGCAATTAAGAGACTTGGTCAACTTACTAACTGACATAAGGTTAAACGGAAAATACACATGTGCCCCTACTTAAGTGAGGGACACTAGATCTAACATAATCTTACACATCAACAACATAAGCATAAGCATAAAGATAGAAATACCCCAACATACTCGACACTAACACCAGTCATCAAAGTTAAATTTGATTGTTTCATCTTAGGTTGCAACCTAAGCATGTAGGATCTACCTCCTTGGTTACAAGGAATCAGCAATCTTCTGCCATCCCCTTGAAATAGAAACAATTGAAACAAGTCTAAATTCTTCTCTAGTAGTGATCCTGTGTGTCAGCCTCACTGTAACTTTTTTTTTTTTGAAAAGGATAAGGTATCTTTTATTAAAAAAAGACAAGAAAAGAAGTATACAAGAGGTATACAACACAACACATCCACTGGACTTGAGAGAATTTACAGCAGATGACATGCCTAGAGGAAAATTTCCAACAGAAGTTTTGAAATTCCATTAAAATGCATACTCCAGAACCCACATGATTGGATCTGTATGACTGGTAGGAGAGTGTGAGATTAAGGGGGGAGAGAACAGTTAATTACGTGCCAATTGAAATCTGCATGCTGAAACCTCCAAGTCTCTCTACCTTCCCTCTTAGCAGGAGAGGTCATTGTATTTGTAGAAACCTAGGGAGGTAACCATAATTTACCCCATCTATGTGAAACTTCATAAAAATACCCACCTCATGTTTCTGAAATTACATATGCCCTTCCTTCATAGGGTTTCCAACAATAACATATACCCACCCCATGTTTCCGAAATTACAATTACCCCCTCTAGTCTGAACTCAAAAGAAACACCCTTAAAGATAACACTGAATCACTTTTTTCAAATACCAAGTATGCTCCAACTTGTAGATTACCAATTCTATTCCCACTCTTTCATGTTTAGCATATGATCACAGAAAAGAGCTCTATCATATTCAACTTGCTCTAGTTTCAATGCCATTTTATCAGAGCTAAATGCCATACAAACAAGTCTAATGAAAGATGTAACTACTAAATTGAACTTTCCAAACAATGTACTGAAAAGGGTTATTGGTCCTTAAGAAGGTTTGAGGGCACATATGATTGGCAAGGTTAAAATTTGATCTTGAAAATGTAAATATATCTTATGACTAAGTGCTATTTGACAAAGTGAAGGTGTCTATAATAACAAATAGTTAAGGTAAGTGCAATGTAATTTTAGAAACCCAGGTGGCTTTTTTTTTTTTTTGGTATTATTGGAAACCCCAAGTAGTGTTTCCTAGGAGCAAGGAACCTCCATTTCCACCACATAACTCAGCCTGGGACTAGGTAAAGTATGAATGTATTATATTAATCAAAAGAAAGCGCCTTTACAACTTAATCCAACAACCACTCTGTTAGTTTCTCCATAGTTACGAATTGCACCTACACCCATGGTGTCAATTCATGTAATTAGTTCCTTCCATGGGTCACATAAATGCCAACCCAAGTCTGTGATTTTTCAATGTCGCCATGACTCATGACCATCAAACAATTCAAGTACCACATCATGCTCATTATATTCAATGCAACACTTAATTTCATCACTGGTGCTCTTAGTTCAGCTTTCAGGTTTATAGGATGGTGCTGATAATTCCCTAAATCCCAGAGTGCATTGCCATTTGCATTGTCTAAGTAATCCACCTTTTCCTTTTAGGCATGTTTATGAGTTATGACTAAATATTTGAGATATATTTCAGATGAAGGTAAAGTTCTCTCTTGGGGTCATGGTGGACAAGGTCAGTTGGGTCATTCTTCTATTCAGAATCTGAAGGTTCCAATGGTGATTGAATCTTTGGCAAAGGAGCGGATTGTGTACATTGCATGTGGAGGTTCCTCTTCAGCTGCTATCTCTGGTAAGAGTCGTAGAAAAAGGATATTTCATATACCACATCAATTGGAACATCTTTGTCCTCAAGGAACCAAAGGGCTTCATATCCCTCACTGCTACAGTGGCAGCTTTATATTCACATTAAACCAGCATAAGATGGTTCTGGGAAATGGTATCCAGGCCATTCATTAGCTGTAAATATTTTATACTTTAATGTTTTATTTAATAAATAACTGAAGTTTGCCATTAAAACTGAAACAAAACTGCTCACCAAGGTGGGCAGCAGGCCCCTAACATCTAGGAGCTCAAATCAACAGGAAAAGTAGACCCAATCTATTGAAATTAAAAAAAAAATGAAGTAAATGACTTTAAATCTATAAATTTGAAACATCAATATATTTAATCATGTACTAGGGCCCAATGAATGGCATTTTGTCTTTTAATGTAGTTCTGAGGTCACTGGATTGACTGGAATTCTTTTCTTGGTAATGGTAGATAAAGGAAAGTTGTATATGTGGGGAAATGCAAGGGATTGTCAACTCGGGGTTCCTGGGCTGCCTGAGGTGCAATCTTCACCTATTGAAGTGAAATTTCTAATTGAGGATGATGGGGTGCATCCCCACCATGTACTTTCAGTTGCAGTTGGTGCATCTCATGCCATGTGCTTGGTTTCAATTTCTGTGGATGAGCATTGGGATGTTCGGTCTACATTGAAACAGAAAATTTGGGAAACAAAATCCCCTACATTGGAAAGGCAGAAAGCTTAGTTTGGGCAAGTACAGGAAAGAGGTTTGAGTTGACCTAGGGGTCTTACCTGCAATATACGTGTTCGTGAACAAGAAAGATACCTGAAATAACTTGTGTTGAAAAGCTTCATGTGTAGGCCACATTGCCATTGATTGTTTTCTGGCACTTTCATTTGGAGAAGACCATATACTGTCCAACCAGCGGGATCTGTGATCAACCCATGGCATTTTGATAGTGTGACTTTCTCTTGAAATACTGGATTATCATTATTGTTGAAGAACTGCAGTTGCTTTGGAATATACATCAAATGTTGCAAATATCATACTTGAGTCATCCCAAATGTAAGGATCTACGTTGTCCCAAGTACACTAAATTTATAACTGATTGTCCTATTTATTTTAGTTAAGAACATTTTTTTTCTGGCAAATGCTAGCATATGGAACTTTATGACATGAGAATGAACTGTGAAAACAACAGAACCCCAGTATACGCTCCTCATTTTGAGGATGAGGTTTCTCACTTGCCCCATGAAAGGAAGTGATTTTCACATAATAGTATGACCCCCCCCCCCTCCCTCTTTTTTTTTTTAATCTGATGGGATGATAATGTTCGGCCCTTTAGGTGTACACAAGGTCAAGGTGTACATCGGATATTTTGTTTCTTATGCTTGGTAGGCTTTGTTTAGGCTGGCCTAATTTTTACCGATAATTTTCACCAATCTCTGATTAGTAGATGGCTACTTTTTGTTCTCCCATAATAGACCAATTTGAAAACAAAGCACCTCTTTGAGTGAATAGAAGAATAAAACCGTTAAAATTCATTTTGCGTCTATCTTGTTTTTCTCTATCTAAATCATTCATGCAAGAAAACAGATAGCTATATGATTAATATGGTTATTACAAGGAAGACCTTAGTATGCATCAAAGCACATTGTATTCCTCTAAAAAAAGTGTTATATACAATATAAGCTGGATTAAACTTGCAAGTTTCATGAGTTGAGCTTTATTGAACTCGAGCTCGACTTGAAATCTGATTTATAGGGAGCTGATGAATAATTCATAAAAAGCTAGATTCGTATCCATCTCTGTTTGAATCGAAGTTGTTTGCTTTTGCTACCTTTGCACTATTCTCTGACAATCACTGATTATCCTTTATAAGATTCACAATGTTCCATGAAGGGATTATTTTTCCTTGGAGGCTTTCAAAAACCATTTTGAAATCCCCCTTTATCTCAACTGCTCCTGAACCCTCAACAAAAAAAAAAAAATACTAGTGATCTTTTCTCTTTTGCCCAAGGCTTAAAATATTGAAAATTTGAAATATATCAGTGTATCGTACGGCATTGTATAAACCTTGCTTTTACCATTAGATCATTAGGTGCACGGTGCAGTTCGGATTGGCTACAGTAAATGTGAAATCTTATAACTTATATATTAAAGGTTCTTTTTACAGTCAGATTGAATAAATAAACCAACTGCATGATTAAATCTTTTCTGAATGGTGAAAAATCAAAGATTATATTCTTGAGGAATGCTGTATTTAATTTGTTTGTAATTAAGAGGTAGAGGTATCCAGGTAACACTCGACTCTGTCAAATAGATCTCTCATTTCTCTGATATATATTAGGGTTGTAGAATGAATGTAACAGTGGTTACTAAATGCTTTCCACTATATTTCTTCTTTTAAAAATTCCCAATTAGATATAATTTAAAGCCATCAGCATCACAATTGTTAGGGGTCTGCACAGATTTGGATTGGTGCAGGTTTGCTGGAAACCATGGTTCAAAGTATTGACACTCGTGATACATAAAAAATGTGTATGCAATTTTTTGGATGGGTGATGCACTTAGATAAAAAATTAACCAGCATCACATTGGGAACATGGACGATATGTACAAGAGATGTTCCCCAGGGTGGGTAAACATGATCAGCAGATATTAACCTTTAAGAGTGGTCAGATGTAGTTAGTAGTTAGTACACCAAGATACCATGTGAGATGTTTATATTGTATACTTTGAATTTTGCAACAATATGTGTGTAAATGTAGTTAGTACTTAGTACTTAGTACACCACATCCTATATAAACACGCCAGTTGCTGCCTTGATAGGACATCTATTTCCGGTTTCCCAGTTCAGAATAATAGCTGTAAATTACTGATCGAATACACACAGCAATATGTACAGCAGATGGGAAGTCCTGTCTTCACAAAAAAGAAAAAATGCTGTTCCTACTCACTTTGTCCTCAACTCCGGATATCCTACATTTTGCCATGCATCTCAATTAGTTCTGTCATAGGTTATTTTTGAAGTTTACTATGGGGTCAGTGACAATTACCCCTTGAACTTTTACTTTACCACAAATACCTCCTCCTTAGAGTTCTGTCAGTTGACTTCAAAAAAAGATTAAAATTCAGCTGTTTAATTTTTTCTGAATTTTCAAACCACGTTTTTTATTTATTTAAATGATTTATGATTCGATTAATTTTCTAAATATAATATTGAAGTCCTCTTATTGCTCTAATACACCTTGTTCAATATTCAAATGAATGGATAGGGTCTTCTTTTTTATAGATATAAATTTCAGGTTTTATTTGGCTTTTCTTGATTTATTGGAGAAAGGAATATATCATTTTTATATTTTAAGATGAAGAGAGGCATTCTTGTCAGTTAAATGATAAAAGAATTTAAAGAAACTTATTTTTCATGTCATTAAAAGTAAAATGATTATTGTTATTTTATCGGGTTTCATTTGGAAAAAAATAGAAGTATTTTTGAGTCAATTAGGGTTTAAGAGAAAAAGGGTGAGGAAATAAAAATAAGGAAAGCTCAGATGGGTACTTTGGTAGTTTAACATATTTTATAATCTAAGGGTCCATTTGGTTTGTAGTTGGAATCAGAATCCAAATCTTTTGGAATTGAAATTGGAATGATCTATTCCCATAGTCTGTTTGGTTCAAACATGACACTAAATGATAATTGGAATCAATTGAAATGAGACTTTATTCCTTAAGGGAGGGGCAGGGAATGGCCATTCCATCAAATGTGGAAATGCTTCCACCAAGAATGGGAATAGAATTCTGATTCTGCCCAACCAAACCCCTATTCCCACAAATGAAATAAAATTGGATTTGGTCCTTACCAGACCGTTCATACATTCCCTTGCAGCCTTGCAATGAAAATATCTCCCTATGAAAAAAAAAAGCATATAAATACAGAGATATTCTCAATATTTGGCTATAAAAGGTTGTACCAACGGTGTCACCACGGTCTTATGAGCAGTGAAGCTGATCTCAAACCAAACGGACCTTAACTTAATGGCCGGGGACTTCTTGTCCCAAAGGTTCCAGGGCATAATTGTCACCGACAATACTTGGGATCGTTGTAATTACCCTAACCCTAAATACTTGTATTAAGGCACCTGTCACACATTTTATCAAGAAAAGACACCTGCAACACAATGAACGTGAAGTGTAGGAAAATAGTGTAGGACCACTCAACAAACAAACTGGAAATACCACTCCAAAAATAAAACAAATAACCATTTTATAACTGCAAAAGAAAAATAAAACAGAGAAGACACGATGGCGACGAGACATCCAGCTCCTCTTCGTTGTCGTCTCCATGAATCCATCTCCCCGAACTGTCGTTCTATCCTTGTTTTAACCCTCTGCTCATTCTCTCACCTTCCATCCTTCTCCGTCCACACTTTCTCTCACCTTCTAACCTTCTCCCCTCTACTCTTTCTCCCACCTTCATCCATCCCCCCTCTCTCTCTCTCTCCTTCCACGATGGGTTGCGGGGTTTCCATGTTCGGCATGGAAGTAAATCCCGTTCTTCCCGGGCTGCTCCGCTGTCGGCCAGTTGATGAGATAAGAGAGCGACAGGACCAGCACACGATAAAGGACGGCTCCCTCTCCATCAATCTTCTTGAAGAAAGAGCGGAGGATGACGACCAGTGTCCTTCCAGGGAATCTTTCTGTTTCTGCAGCTGGGAAAGCATTTCGGTGTCTCCTACGGCGGCGAAAGGCGTATTGTCGTCACCCAAGGTGCACCCAAATTCAACGCGGAATAGCAACGCTACAGACAAAGATGAATTAGACTCAGGCTTAGCCCATGAGCTGCATTCGATGACAGCGGAGTGCGACGATGTTGTCAAGAGGGTTCCGGCCATCAAAGAGAAAGTGGAAGAAGAGAAAGAAGAGGTGGAGAGTGCTAACCGGCAAAATGTAAAAGAAAACGAAGACGAAGAGTTTAAAGAAGCAAAGGAAGAAGAAGAAGAAGAAGAAGAAGAAGAAGAAGAGGGGGAGGAAAGAGTCTCTTGGGATTGGGATGGTGGTGATTGCAGCGACATTGCCCCAGGGGCACGGTCACCCAGTTTCAGAGATTTTGTTTTATTTGGCAGGAACTCGCACGCCTCGGACGACGGTGGTGATGAGTTGAGCCATACAAATAAGCAAGATGACGGTGAGTATCATATTCGTTCATGCATGCAGCAGCTTCCTTTCATTCATTCAATTCAAACATCAAACCAGCCCAAGTCTGCTGATGATGTGGCAACTTTGGAGTTTGGACCAAATGTGCAACTCTTTGTTTCCTTCTCACTACAGACAAAGTGGGACCCATAAAAAATTTTTCATGGGATGGATCCCACCATGCCTGTAGCGCGAAGAATTAAAGAATTGCATAGAATCATTGTTTTTAGGCTTGGTCGAGTGCTGATGACCTCAGCCTTCGAATATTGATTTAATTTAATTTAAAGCTGAAGAAAAAATTGTTTCCGTCGTCTGTGTAGGCAAGAGCAGTAGTGAGACGAAGAAAAAAATAGGAGATATATGGAAGAGGAAGAAGAGCATTTCATCTTGCGGTTCAGATGAGGTACGTAAGAGGATCAATTACCAAATAAGCAAAGCTTGTTGAATTTGTAATCTGAATTGGGTCGAGTGCTAATTTACGAGATGATGATTTTGATGTTGTTTTTGCTGTTTTGCACTTGTGCAGGAATCAATGGCGGGGGGGCAATTGCAATTAGTGAAGAAACAAAACTGGGCTGCAGTTTTGCAGGAATTAATGATGAGCAGCGAAATAGTGAAGAAAGAAATCAGCAAAATGAGGAGATTCTTACCAAAGGGGAATCCGGTAGCCATGAAAAAACTTCTGAAAGTTAAGTCATTATGTTACAATCCCTCCAGATCAGGTTCTCTCAGAAGAAACAGTTTAGATGAATCATCATCGCCCTCACCTTCATCGTCTTAGAGAGAGAGAAAGATATCGATCACAATCTGGGATGGCGATGGAAACAATATTCTTCATTTACTCAGTCGTCCTTTTAGTTAGAGAGATTGAAATGAGACCTCTGGATTCTTGTCATGGCTTTACAATTTAGAGGCACCAATGCCCATTTGTTATAGTAATGCCAAATCCATGCATACTCACCTCGGAATCAGAATCACCTATTCTTGGTGCATGCTTAGTTCAATTGGGAATCGAAATCAGATGCTGTAATTGAAATTAACCAAAATTTCCAAATTTGCCTCCATTAAAATAACCTTAAGAACAATCCAGTTATTATATATTTTCAACATTATCCACCATAAATCTTTGTTAAATCATTGTTCAGTTGTACAAACACAAAAATCATTGTTCAGCTCAAAGAATTCAAATTTTTGTAAAATTGATGATAACTAGAATCCATGCTGGTATCTGAGGTACAGTCAAACACAGCCTTTGTACCGTTGCCAATAACAGTCAAACACTGAGGAGAGCAAGGCCCGCAGGTTGACCTTTTATGTAAACATAAATCTCTTGTTTACCCTTGTCCCACAGGCAGATCCTATAAGTAGAATGATCTAACTTCCATCATAGGCAAATCCTATAAGTTCCAACCACTGAAGACTATCTTGTGTATGAAAAATCATTATAAGTGAACCCACTATGACAAGAGCTACACTTGCAGCAGATGCAATAGTAAGAAGTTCTGTCATTACAAATCACAAGACACATGAGAAGCATTGTGGCCTAAATGTGTATAAAGCCATACAGGGTTGGTTTGAAGCTGAAAAACTTGAAATTGCTTACTGGTTCATGGCTTTACATAATAGAAAATCGGTTTTGTGGGTCAGGTCAAGATTTATCAACATATATGTCACTACCAGTGTATTTCCTCTACAATCTACAATCTCCATTTTTTATTTCTTTCTTTCCTTTCCTTTTGTTTTTTTTTTTTTTCTCTAACAAGGATGCATGATCAAATCTAGACAAGAAATACGAGTGTTTTCGATAAATTCGTTTCCTCAGACCCTATTATAAGCATTGGTTCCGGGTTTTATTGGGCTTAGGCCCAGGTATGATGGGTGGTTCCAGATCATGACCCACCAAATTATGGAAACTAATCGTATATGTAAATATGCCAAAAAAATCGTATATGTAAATATTAGTAAAATCTTTTAAAAATATTGTTTTCATAAAAAACCAAAACAAATGAAAAATTGAACCGAATCAATGAAACCAAATAAAAAAAATTTAATTAACCAAGTGCACGTGCAGTTGGGCCATTAGGGCAAGGTACTGACTCAAAAGCGGTCCACAAAAAAAGTAAACAGAACAAATATTACGGGAAATTTCCAACACTCTAGGCTTTCAACTTTGTTGGACCTGCCCTTCCTAAATGGGTGTCTTGCACATACTCTTATAGTGTCCCGTGTTACCACATCGCCTGCAATGAACCTCTCATCTCTCAATAGGTTGAGACTTAATCCGTTTGGATTGGGGTTGGCCCAGTGGTTGTTTGGTCTTCTGTGGGTGAAGTGTAGCAGATGATGAAGTTTTGATGTCTGCACTCACAGACGATGACATAGATGTTGAAGGCAACTCATCAGATAAGATAGGGTTTATCGTCTGGAGTATATGACCTTCTGTTTTTCGATCATGTAGTAAGGGTCAACAAATTCATACACATTCCACTCCGCTAGCAATATGGCCGCGCATGCATGTGCACATGGGAGGCCACTTATTTGCCACTCCTTGCAATGGCACATCGGCTGGTCCAACCGGACGGTATATTACATTTCCCCCTTCATGACCTCGAACTCATGAATAGATGCACGAACAACCTAGAATTGGATGCTATTATGAATTGTCACGTGCAACTTCTCTTTGATCCTTCTCTTAATCGGTGTTGTGCAGTCTAAAGATTCGCAATGTCGCCTCCAAAGGAGTTCCATCAATTTCAACCGAAATGTGTTCAGCATGGTCACTATAGGCTGATGACGAATGTCTGATACCCATCCATTGAACGTCTTTTCAATATTGGACGACATTTGGTCATACCACATTCCTAGGAACTTGGAGTTTGCCCAATGCTTAGGTTCAGTGCCCTTTACCCAGCTGCCAATGCATTCATTCAATGTGAAAAGCCTCCTCATTAATGACTCATACTTGTCGGTAGATTTCGCATACATGATTTTAAACATTACAACCTTTATTGCATCACACAACTCCTTCGATAAACGAAGTCATGTCATGTGCGATTTTAGATTTTCCATGAGGTGTTGACAATACAAGGCATGCAGATCTGGTCGGAAAATCCACTGGACCGCATCCACCAAGCTATTACCCCTATTCGAAACAATCACAACATCTGTCATTACTGATTGTTGTTTTAAGATGCCCCATAAACCAAGTGCAATCCTTAAGGCACTCTGCAGGGACAATGGCAAATGCCACGGGGAACATCCCATTGTTGGCATCTATCACGGTGGCGGCTAGCAACTTCCCCTGGTATTTCCCATTTAAGTGCGTCCCATCTACAAATAGCAGTGCTCGACACCCATAGCGAAATCCATAGAGAGATGCATGGAATGTTAAGAAGAGTTGCTTGAAACGATCATCTTCATCAATGCTATAAATGACGTACGAACCTGGATTGGACTCAACAATCTTCTCACAGAACCACGAAATACATGAGTATGAGTCATCATCCCTACTATTGATTAGAACCTTTGCGATCTTTTTACAGCTCCAAGCCTGCTGATACATTAGCTGCAACGCGTAGTCACATTTGATGTCCTCCACGATATTTGTTGCTCTGTATGATGGACTATCCCATACCTTCTCAACAAGAAGATTCCCGACAAACTTATTCGACCTGGGAAGACTTACAGAGGATGATGCACCTGCGGTGTGGGAGTGTAGAGGTTGGTACTAATGCACTTGGACCATTGGCCCTCCTCTCAATGCACTAGCTCGAATTTCCCATTGATAGTTGTCCTTACTACATTGCGCATGAATTCGTGTGTTGTCGTTCCTGCTATACTTAAAAGGAAAATCTATGGGCTACGGAGTATTTAGACAAGGCAGTTCAAAATGCAGTCGCATCTTCGAACACTTGGTTGACTCTGGTTATGAGACCATGCCACATTATTGCTGCCATGCTACCGCTTTTAGTTATACCATTTGAACCAACACGCATATGCATGCTTTGGTCATCGTCAGAGTTGGGTTCTCTGCCATCATTCAAGCAACCCACATCCCCTGTTGGTTCATTCAATGAGACGATGGTGTCTGAGGATATGTTGTACTGAATAAGTGTCTGTTTGTCGTTTTGGTGTTGAAGTCTTAGGGTGCGTTTCTCCTCACACTGGATTGTGTACTCTATCTTCACAACGCGTGGGTTGATCCCAAAATGCCCACAGATGTCCTGCATGAATGAATTTAATTTTGTGCTCTAGTTTATAACAATGTCAATTGATTCGCAATTAAAGTTGCAAATGCATAAGATTGACTTATCCGCCTTGGGGTCCATATATGTTTGTGAACGGAAGACACACCTATAAAAAAAGATAGATATCATCAGTCATAACTATTGATGTGAAGAGAAAATGGGGGAAGAAAAAATTTAGAAGAAATAGCACAATATCGTGCGTTAGCTGAAGGATATGTAGACCGCCAACAACCTTGTTGGTGGGGGGTGGTGCCTATGAGGTAACTGCTTGTAATGGGGGGTGGGGTTTAAATGAGAGGGGTAGGGAATGGGTAGAGTATGGCGGTATGAGGTGCAACCCAACATCCATGGGGCAATCCGATGTAAAGGAGGAGCACTATAGCATGATGTTGGCCAATCGGTCAATGCGATGACCCTTCGACAGACATCATCATAGTCTGGAGGGATAGACCAAACCTAGGTACTGCTTCACCCATGTCTTTTCCGCCCATGCACAGAGACCAAGGCAAGCCTAGAATCGATAGGAGGGTGGTGTAAGTCAATGACCAATGGGCACTCTAATGTAAAGGAGACAACGGTACGAGGTGCAGCCCAACGACCATGGGGCAATTCAATGTAAAGGAGGAGCACTATAGTGTGATGTAGGTCAATCGGTCAGTGTGATGACCCTTCGATAGACATCACCATAGGCTGGAGGGATAGACCAGACCCATAAAACATCTATAAATGGGGTGGATCATGGATTCGGTTAACACACTTCACATTCTAACCAAATTATACTTAGTTTTTTTAGGTCCCCAATGGAGCACAATGACGTTACCACTATAATTATTGCACGGAGAGAGTTTCTTAACTTGATCCTCCGTGAATTGAATGCACAGGATGCAAAGTGGGTTGTGAGTGCTGGGAACGGCCTCTATCAAGCAATTGTGGCCTCCAACGTACGTGGACATGATGTATCATTTACCAGCAAACTCCGTCCATCACCGGGAGTTAGCATACAAACAACAACTGCTATAGGAATCTGCCACATCAGATAAGCCCACCACGTTCGTGTGGTGTATGTCACATACCCATAATACTACCACACTCTTAAACAGAGTTAGAACATACAAAGAGACATGGACACTTTGGTGTAGGAGAATTTAGCTTTGAGACAGAAGAATTTGGAACTTGGACACAAGGTCACAAAGATGAGGGCACGGGCCAAAACTAGTGTATTAAGCAAAAATCTGTAACATGAGGATAACAGTCCCTGTGGTCACCAACGGTGCATTTGGTACCGCAAAGGGACTAATCATATCTATTGGCCATAGATTTTGATCAATAGTTGTATTGTTCCTACCTTCACCCTTCTCCACCCAACCTAAACACTACCGTAACACCATGGAACCACCCCCACAAGGGGTGTTAGGAACCTTTCCTTTCCTTTATGCTAGTATAACACGTATGTGGAAATTTTAATGGAAGTAGTCATGTATTATTGACACATGTCTGCACTTTACACGTGCTAGTTGAATTCCCTTATGGTCCA